TCCCACGGTTTTCGGTCCGGTTCCGGTTTCCGGTCCGTCCGATTGGGTCCATCCGGCTCCCATCCGGTTGATACGGTTCAACACCCGGTTCCGATCCGGGTTCCGACCCGACCGGACCCGGATGGTCCGGTTCCCCACCCTAGACCCGGCCGATCCGGTTCCCTTCCCGGATGATCCGGTTCCCCATCCGGATGGTCCGGTTGATCCGGTTCCCGACCCGGTACCCCACCCGGATGGTCCGGCTGGTCCGACTCCCCGCACGGTCGATTTGGCACCCCACCCGGACCACCCGGATGATCCGGTTTCCCCGTCCGGATGGTCCGGTTGATCCGGTTCCCCGAACCCGGTACCCCACCCGGTTCCCCACCCGGATGGTCCGGTTTCCCCACCCCAGACCCGGTCGATCCGGTTCCCGACCCGGGTGATCCGGTTCCCCGTCCGGATCACTACCCGTTTGGTCCGGTTTCCCACCCGGTTACCGGCAACCCGGTTGGTCCGGTTGGTCCGCTTCCCCACCCGGACCACCCGGGATCATCCGGTTCCCCGTCCGGATGGTCCGGTTGACCCCGGCTCCCCGACCCGGAACCGCACCGGGTTCCCCACCCGGTTGGTTCGATTTTCCCACCCGGTCGATTCGGCTTCCCCACCCGGACGGTCCGATTGGTCCGGTTCCCCAACCGGATGGTCGGGTTGATCCGGTTCCCGACCCGGTTCCCCACCCGGATGGTCCGGTTGGTCCGGTTCCCCACCCGGTTGGTCCGATTTCCCACCCGGTCGATTCGGCTCCCCACCCGGACGGTCCGATTTGGTCCGGTTCCCCAACCGGATGGTCGGGTTGATCCGGTTCCCGACCCGGTTCCCCACCCGGATGGTCCGGTTGGTCCGGTTCCCCACCCCGGTTGGTCCGATTTCCCACCCGGTCGATTCGGCTCCCCACCCGGACGGTCCGATTGGTCCGGTTCCCCAACCGGATGGTCGGGTTGATCCGGTTCCCGACCCGGTTCCCCACCCGGATGGTCCGGTTGGTCCGGTTCCCCACCCGGTTGGTCCGATTTCCCACCCGGTCGATTCGGCTCCCCACCCGGACGGTCCGATTGGTCCGGTTCCCCAACCGGATGGTCGGGTTGATCCGGTTCCCGACCCGGTTCCCCACCCGGATGGTCCGGTTGGTCCGGTTCCCCACCCGGTTGGTCCGATTTCCCACCCGGTCGATTCGGCTCCCCACCCGGACGGTCCGATTGGTCCGGCTCCCCAACCGGATGGTCGGGTTGATCCGGTTCCCGACCCGGTTCCCCACCCGGATGGTCCGGTTGGTCCGGTTCCCCACCCGGATGACCCGGTCGATCCGGATCCCCACCCGGATGACCCGGATGGTCCGGTTCCCCGCCCGGTACCCTACCCGGCTGGTCCGTTTCCCCACCCGGTTCCCCATCGGGCTTGCCCGGCTGATCCGGTTCCCCACCCGGATCACCCGGTCGATCCAATTCCCCATACGGATGACCCGGATGATCCGGCTTCCCGTCCGGTTCCCTGTCCGGTTGGTCCGGTTCCCCACCCGGTACCCCAACCGGATGGTCCGGTTGATCCGGTTCTCCACCCGGATGACCCGGATGATCCGGTTCCCCATCCGGATGACCCGGATGATCCGGTTCCCAGTCCGGTTCCTGACCCGGTACCCCACCCGGATGGTCCGGCCGGGTCCGGTTCCCCACCCGGATGGTCCGGTCGGTCCGGTTGGTCCGGTTTCCCACCCGGTCGATCCGGTTCCCCACCCGGATGACCCGGTTGATCCGGTTCCCCACCCGGATGACCCGGTTGATCCGGCTCCCCACCCGGATGGTCCGGTCGGTCCGGTTCCCGACCCGGCACCCCACCCGGATGGTCCGGTTGGGTCCGGTCCCCCACGGGGATGGTACGGTTGAGTCCGGTTCTCCACCCGGATGGTCCTGTCGATCCGGTTCCCGACCCGGATGATCCGGATGATCCGGTTCCCCATCCGGATGGTCCGGTCGATCCGGTTCCCGACCCGGATGACCCGGATGATCCGGTTCCGCGTGCGGATGGTCCGGTCGACCCGGTTCCCCACCCGGATGATCCGGTTGGTCCGGTTCCCGACCCGGATGACCCGGTTTCCCATCCGGATGGTCCGGTCGATCCGGTTCCCCACCCGGATGACCCGGACGATCCGGTTCTCCACCCGGATGACCCGGACGATCCGATTTGGCCTCGCTTTTCGGCTCCGAGACCCCTAGAATCCCTAGAATTGGGCTGAAAAAACGCTGGGGTTCCCCTGCCTTATGTCCTTATGTCCTTAGTTCCGTCTTCGTCGAGTCAGTCGTCGTCCGTCTAGACCGTTTTGATGGATTTATAAAGAAGGTGTCCCCTTCTATATACATCCATCGGGGGGCCCGGGGCACGCCCATCGGAAGGGAGGATCTCCTTCGATCCTTGGCCCTTCCAGTGTGCGAGCCCTGCGGCCCACCCACCTGAAGAGAGAGGG